TTCATTTGAAAATCTTTCTTCTGTTTCTATTCATACTCCCTCTATGACTGACTCCTTGTTACATGAGTTTCTTGAATTCAAAAGATCTGTTGAGCAGAAACAGGGCACTGGAGTTTCTCCTATGGTTGCCACTGCTCACACAAATCATAATGCATCCAATGCAGGTATATACTTGAACAATGTTTCATCTGCTAATAGATTTTCAAAACCCACATGGATATTAGACACTGGAGCAACTGACCATATGATTTGTGACATATCTTACTTTACTTCTGCTCCAACACCATTATCTATTAAAATCAATCTTCCTAATGGTGCACATACTGAGGCAAGTCATGTGGGACAGTTAAAACTGGGACCTAATCTTGTACTGCCTCATGTATTGTTTATGCCATCTTTCAATTTCAATCTGATTTCAGTTTCAAAATTATGTTCATCAAATAACTGTATTGTCAAATTTATCTCTTCCTCCTGCATCTTACAGGATCTGAAAACTCTCAAAATGATTGGTTTTGCTGACATGAAGGATGGTCTCTACCATCTTTCCTTATCTCATTTTGATAACAATGTTTCTACTAATCATATTGTAAATGCTTCAATTACTGATGAACATTGTACAGACTCTGTTACTGTTGATTCTACTGAACCTACTTGTATTGATGCCAATACCACTAAACATACTGTTTCAGATAATTGTTTGTTATGGCACAACAGACTTGGACATCTATCTTTTCATAAATTGGCTCAATTACCTGTTTATTTGAGTAAATGTGGTTCTTACATTGATAAACCATGTGATGTTTGCCATTTTTCAAGGCAGAAAAGGTTACCATTCTCTAACAGTATCAGTCATGCATCTAATCCTTTTGATTTAATTCATTGTGATGTATGGGGTCCCTTTTCAATACCTTCTCATTCTGGTCACGAATACTTTTTAACCATTGTTGATGACAATAGCAGATGCACATGGATTTATCCACTTACATACAAATCTGACACTAAATCATCTCTCATTCATTTTTCAAATATAGTTCAAACTCAGTTCAACTCTAAGATCAAAACCATTAGAACTGATAATGGTACTGAATTCATTTTATCTGATTTCTATTCTGATCATGGCATTATTCATCAAGTTTCATGTGTTGAAACACCTCAGCAAAATGCTAGGGTGGAAAGAAAGCATCAACATCTTTTACAAGTTGCTAGAGCATTACTTTTTCATGCCAACTTACCTATCATGTTCTGGATTGATTGCATTATGGTGGCTGCTCATATCATAAATAGAATCCCTTCACCTGTTTTGCAAAACAAATCTCCTTATTCTATTCTTTATAAAAAGGAGCCTGATTTCAGTCACTTAAGAGTCATAGGATGTTTATGCTATTCATCCACATTACAAGCTCACAGATTCAAATTTGCATCTAGGTCTTCTAAATGCATACTTTTAGGTTATCCATTAGGTTGTAAAGGCTATAAACTTTACAATCTGGAAACCAAGAAAATATTAATTTCCAGGCATGTGATATTTTATGAAAATGTTTCCCTTTTAAGCCTAATCCTGATTTACCCTATTCTACCCCAGATACTCCTTACACTGAACCTATGTTTCCATATTCTTCCCCTATTATTTTTGACAACAATCCTACCCAACATATTGCCCAACAGCCAAATAATCATACCCCTCATACAGTTATTCCTCCACAAACAATTATTGCTACTACTCCCCAACATATTTCCCCTAATCCTTCATCCCCCATAATAAGAAAATCCACTAGACAAAGGTCTGTGCCTTCTTACTTAAATCAATATCACCATTCTTTACCTTCTTCTCACTCTGTTCATACAGATATTCATACCACATTGCCTGGTACACCTCATGACATTCATGATTTTATTTCTACTGATCAGCTTTCAAACTCTCATAGCTGTTTTACAACTTCAATTTCTGAAATTACAGAACCCAAGACTTACAAATAGGCTTTTAAAAATCCTTTATGGCAAGAAGCCATGCAAAAAGAACTTTCAGCTTTAGAGAAAACAAATACTTGGGTTCTAACTGATTTACCCAACAACAAACATTGCATTGGTTGTAAATGGGTTTATAAAGTAAAGTATAAATCTGATGGTACAATTGAAAGATACAAGGCTAGATTAGTAGCAAAAGGCTATACTCAAGAGGAGGGTATAGACTATTTTGATACTTTCTCCCCTGTAGCTAAGATTACAACTGTCAGATTATTAATTGCACTTGCATCTATCAAAAGTTGGCATCTACAGCAACTAGATGTCAACAACGCATTTTTACATGGTGACTTGGAAGAGGAAGTCTATATGACACCCCTACCAGGTTACTCTGTTGATGTCAATAAAGTTTGCAAACTTCAAAAGAGTTTATATGGTTTAAAACAAGCCTCAAGGCAATGGTTTCAAAAATTGACATCTTGTTTACTTGACTTTGGTATTGTCAGTCCATTGCTGATTGCTCATTGTTCACTAAATCCTCTGGTCATTCATTCACTGCATTGTTGATCTATGTTGATGATATAATCCTGACTGGCAATGACTTATCTGATTTTAATTCTGTGAAATCCCATTTGGACAAATGTTTTACAATCAAAGATTTGGGGCAACTCAAATACATTCTTGGCCTAGAAATTGCTCATTCTGAAAAGGGTATCAATATTTGTCAAAGAAAATATGCCTTAGACATTTTGAACGATACTGGCTACATAGGTTGCAAACCCTCTAACACACCTATGGACAGTACCTTAAAACTTCCAACTCTTCTTCTGATTTAGTAGATGCAACTCTATACAGAAGATTAGTAGGAAGACTTTTATGTTTGACAATTACTAGACCTGATATTTCATTCAGTGTGCAATGCTTAAGCCAATTTATGTCCCAGCCAAGACAGGATCATCTTAATGCTACTTATAAAGTCCACAGGTATGTCAAAACCACAGTTGGAGCAGGTATATTCTATCCCAGAAACTCTAAGATTCAACTTTCTGCATATAGTGATAGTGATTGGGCCGGTTGCATTGAAACAAGGAAGAGCATAACAGGTTATTGTATCTTCTTAGGCAATTCCTTAGTTTCTTGGAAGTCTAAGAAACAGAACACAATTAGTAGGTCCTCTGCAGAGGCAGAGTACAGGGCTTTAGCCACTACTACTTGTGAAACACAATGGCTGTTATACCTTCTACATGATTTTCACTGTTCTCATGACTTTCCTGTGTGTATTCTTTCAGATAGTAAGTCAGCCATTAGCATTGCTCAAAACCCTATTTTTCATGAAAGAACAAAGCACATCGAGATCGACTGTCACCTCATCCGAGAGAAGATAGCTAAAGGCATCATCAAATTTGAGTTTGTCTCCTCCTCAGATCAGGCTGCAGACCTCTTGACCAAACCATTGTCCACCCAGGCCTTCCAATCTAATGTCTCCAAGTTGAGCATGATGAACATTCATGCTCCCCTTGCGGGGGGGTATTAGAATATAAAAGTGTTATTTTATATTTAACCCTCTTGAAATAGGAATGTTAGCATTTTATGTATTTTAGCATATAGTATAAATAGGTGTCTCTAGGGTTTCCAAACATACTTTTACATTCTCTCTTCACGTTGTACGCAGACAATCTGTCTCTCTCTTTTTCCTCTTCAATAATATTTTCTTTCGTTCTTGTTCTATCGATTGTGATTTACAATTTGTAAATCTGATAATTGCTTATATTTTTATACAGTTTGACGAGACAGTTTTCAAGTTCAGCACTGCCTTTTCATTTTCAAAAGTACAGGTGGGAGCCTTACACTGGGTATTACATCGCTTATAATCTTGTACCATTTATGAGGTATGTATGTAGATATTTGACCCGAACGGTTGAGTTATCCCGTTCGTGGTCCAGTTTCAGCTCGAACGATTGAGTTATCCCGTTCGTGTCAGGTGACTCGGTCTTGTATGGATGGTTTTCCCATCCTGAGTCACGCGTCCAGTTGAGTTATCCTGGGTTCTGGGGAGGCGACCCCCAGAGTGTGATCACATGTTATCCGGCCAATTTCCGGATGTTGCACAGTACAGTACAGTTTTATTTATTTATGTATATGCTGAGTTCATTATATTTTATTATATGTGTTGTTTATTCAGTGTTGGTTTCTACGGAACATGGTTGACTTTTGTGCTCACGCCCCACTACATTATCTTTTTTTTTATTTTATTATTTTTTTTTATTTATTTATTTTTTTTTTCAGATTACAGGGTCGGGCTGCAGGCGTGAGATCAGTTGCAGTAGTTGTGGTCGTGGACTCGGCTAGATGCCGTTTTGTGGACTATTGTATACAGTACAGTTTGTATATATTTTGTCACGCTTTACATTTCCACTGACAGTTACAGTTTTCAAACTTGCATGTATTTATGTATAGATTTCAGAATTTCCCCTCCGGATCACTAGTCAGGCCCGGTAAAGTTTACATGCTTGTTTGATTGGAGTTTATAAACTGTTTTAACCAGCATTTGGATCAAGTTAAAGAAAAACGGATTTTTAAAACAGATAAGTTCTTAGTAACATCCCGGGTTAAGTTTAAATAATTTCAAAAAATTTATAAGTATTTTCGAAATAAAATTTGCAAAAAAATGTACTCTGATACTAGTAAGATAGCGGGGTGTTACAGTTGATATCACATATTCGTGGAGATGTGGCGATATTGGAGGAAAAAATTTCTACACTCTATAGCTAAAAAGATGGAATAAGGGAGATGGTTTTATATTGAACTTTGTCTGAGAGATGATTTAATAATGACCCAATAAGCAACCTGCAGCCCTAGTTATCAAAACCTCTTCAACGTCTTTGAATTAATCAACAAGCTATCCAATCAAAAGCATAGGGAGTTTATAAATACCACAGTACCAATATGGAAATCAACCCCGAAGTCCCATGAACAAATGAATCCGATTCAGCTCAAACCGTCGCCTCAATAGACGATCTCTTAATTTCAATTTTCCTTTGCCTCCCGATAAAGGACCTCATTCAATTAAGAAGAGTTTCAAAGCAGTGGCATCGTCTCATCAGCAATCCAAGCTTCTTTATCCAGCGCAATCCCATTCCCAATCCGCCGCAGGCCTCTTTCTGCAGTGTCTGCCCTACGTGGCCCGTCTTCGGATAGAATACGTCCCTTTCACGGGCCTCGAATCAATCAAGCTGCAGTTGAGGAAACTCAAGTTCATCAAGGACCCATCCGGCATCAGGATCCGTCACTCTTGCAACGGCCTCTTACTCTGTTCAAGCTTCAGGGCTCGTGATAGCAATCGGAAGTACTATGTTCACAATCCCACCACCAATAAGTTTGTCCTACTTCCCAAACTGGACTCGGCTAGTATATGTGGGATGAGCTTGGCTTTTGATCAAATCAAGTCTCCTCATTATAAAGTTATTTGCGTCAGATCTGTGAGTATCACGGGCTATAAGCATTGCCAATTGGAGGTTTATTCATCGGAAACGGGTTCTTGGAGAAATCACGGGCAGACCCCACAAGTCCGGGTGAGCTTAAAAAATGGGGTGTGTTGGAATGAAGCCATTCACTGGACTAGCAATGGAACTGGAAATGATTCTCTATATTTCAATGTTGATAATCAGTTGTTTGGGAAAATGCCAATTCCTCCTACTGGCTGGGATCATGTAAACAACAATAATTATTTCGGAGAGTCTTTTGGACACTTGCACTATGTCAAGGGGATTGGGCGGATCTTCCAATTTAACGTGTACGAGATGAGGACGGACTATTCTGAGTGGTTTGTGAGGTCAATCTTTCGCCTCTTGTAAGGGCTTATCCAAGTATGACAGGCTGGTTTTAGCCCAATGAGTTCGGCTTACTACGCATTTTCTATACTTTGTTTAGTTCGAGGTGAGGAGGAGGAAGGTTCATTTTTGGTTGTGCAGATTCCTGGAAAAGCCAGCGAGTTCGCCAGTGTTAATTCAACAGGTCGTTTGAGGTATTCGGGTACGGGTGGATTCCAATATGTTGGAATTATTACTATAAAATGTGTGTTTACGTTGCCTCATTAAATTCCTTATCCGAAAAAATCTTGTGGAACAAAACCGAGATAAGAAAAAAAGAGTACAACCACACATGCTCCCACTCGGATTATTATCTTAGTAAATCTCGAAGATATCTCATTCCAATGTTGTTGACGTGCTTTTAAAATGTTGCAGTTGGTAACACCTTAGTAAATAAATCTGATGCATTGTCGCTTGATGCAATGTATTGGATTTTGATTTGTTTATTTCTTTCAAGCTATTGAGTGTTTAAGAAGAACTTTGACGGGCTATATTTGATTCTATCACTGTTAATGTATCATTCTTTGGTTTGAGCAACATATGTTGCATTGTCTTCGAGTATCACCGTCAAATCTTTGTTATTTGGTTAATAATTGGCTTGTTGGATGTGTTGACTCATATTTTTTAGCTATATGATTTTCCTAGTTGCTTTATGAAGTGCAATAATTTCAGCATAGTTTGAAGAAGTAGCAACCACCGCACTGTTGGGATCTGTGAGGATCTCGTTATGTACAAGTCACGAGTTCAATAGCAAACGTAAACCTATGCGCAGCGGATCTAAAGCTTTCACGTAGAGAACTTATGGCTTAAAATTTATGTAGATCTGGTTGACCACGAACGGTTGACCGCAAATCACGTCTTAGGTTGCATGCACAAGATCAAATCAAAACTGGATCAAACGGGTGCAAACAGATGAAGACGAACTTTGTAGCCTGGGAGCTTCTGGCGGCGTGTGAGGGCGCATGCAGCGTCAGATGGCGGCGATCTCGGCGGGGATGGAAAGCTCTCGCCGAGACGGTTGTCTGGGTATGCTGTGCGTCTCAATCAGACCTCCAGTTAGTTGTGTAGGATAAAATATATTTCGCTTCAATTTACCTACAGATCTTCTACTGTATTACTCAATACACTCTTCTTCAACTTGTACCAGTGGAGCAACAAGAAGAAGATAAAGCTCGAATGAGATCTAGAGAGAGAGGCGTGGGGCGTGTCTCATGTTAGAATAGGAATTCTGTTCTCTTCTCATTAGCTTAATGATGTATATATAGAACTACAGTAGGGACCTTTAGGAGATTAGGAAAAGGGCTCCTTAATTAATTAGACTAACTGTGGGCCAAACCCACTCCTCTAATTAATTAAATAATATTAATGGGCCACCAACATTATATTATTGCACTCCCTTCTCCTAGCCCAAATTACATTTGAAACTCCAATAATAATTACTCGATTTACCTCCCCACGTTTAAGATATAATGTCCATTAATTAATTCGATTACTGACAATCAATAATTAATTAATTTATTATTATTTCACCGAAGCTAGCGCTCGTTCATCACATTCTTATTATACCGGAAATTAATCCACCTGCAGGGTTTCACATAACAATCCTTCACGAACCCACTCCGTGGACATCATCAAACTAACGCACATGGTAACCGTAAATATCCTATCAGCACATCTCACTAGCTCCTAGTCAATATTTTCGACAGTCATAAACGTCATATTCCGACCAAAAAATTGATGTGTTGAAAGTGATATCACGCCTTAGCTTATATATAATAATATTACCCAGAACAGTAGGAATATTGATCTAGTGAACTGAACCTCACCCAAGTGAATCAAAGTAATATATACTATATATATCTGCCTGTTTAATATCTTACGGGTGAAGAGAACGCAGTAATTAACCGAGGTCTAGTTCATTTACGACGATCAGTATAAAATGAACTTCTCCTCTCTGGGATCCTGTTCAATACATTAATGTACTAGTGCAACTAATCAGTCAAGACAAAATGTACAGTTGACACTACAACCGTTCGGATGGGGTGTTCATGTCCATCTAGGTTGTGAACAACTATTCTTGTTCGCAAGTAACTGATAGAGTGATCTTCGGTTCGCCCGATGACGACCCACCATATCTAAGTGTAGAACAACAAAACGTAGAACTTGTTTAATCTAACACGATTCTCATTCATAAATGACAAATGTGTAATAATATGCAAACCCAAACTTTCAATATATAACACTAACACGCACACCTATGTAATTTCAGCCCATGGTAGATCTGACTCGTGTTCGACCAAGGCTCGACACACAACTTCGTGTTCGGCTCGGGCAGGAGCCACAAGGCCGCATCGATCTCTACACAATATATATAAATTTTTGTGGATATTTCCATAATTGTAGTAATTATTTGAATATTGAATAAATCAGTCGAATATACATAATTTGCGTAATTAAGATATATAAAAAATGCATTTCACAAAAGAATTAATCGAAAAATATAAAACACTTATTAGCTTATAAATTATACAATTTAGTTGAAATTTTTTTAGCAAATCACATAATTGTTATGTAGCCGAAATTCCCGTATTTGGATAAATCAGCGATTTATATGATTTTAGTAATTAAGGTATCTTAAAAATGAATTCTATTATGGCTTACTTATTGCCTTAAATAACGAGCTGCAATTTTCATAAGTAAAATTTCAATATTTGGGTGAATCAGCCGAATTCAAATGATTTGAGTAATTAAGGTATCTTAAAAATAATTTTTTTTATGTATTAGTTATTTCGTTAAATAATGATCCGCAATTTCCATAAGTGATTATTTGAAGTATACCATAAATTGTAAAATTAATTTCCCGAAATAGTAAATAATTTTTTTTTAAGACGAAAATAGTTTTTTTTTTTTTGTTTTTGTTTTTTTCCATAACGATAGGAATTCTCATATAAACGGAAATGATAGTTCAAGTACAAGAAGTGCAAACACCATAATACCGAAGGCTAAGCCAGAGAGCACTACTAAAGATAGTAGGCTAGAATACAAAGAGAATACAATAACACCAAAGGAATTGAGTATAAACTGAGACTTCCAGTGACCAAACAAAAGACAGATACAACTCAACACTAATAATGAAGATAAATGAAAACAAGCCACTGAAGTGATTACTCAGACCTAGCTATGCTTCTTTTTCTTCTGGTAATATGTTTGTTGCCAAGCTTAACTGCCTCTTGACATTCATCCCAAGCACCTGATAAAATGCATTTCTCTGATCTCCAAGCTCTCTCAAATATCCAGAGGTTACGTGATTTCCAGATCCACCACAAGATGTATGTGGTGAGCTCTATCCTAGCCTCATCAACTGCACTCTGTTTGATTGAGCAAATTGAACCCCACGAGTCTCTGAATTTGCAGCCTTTTGTGTTAATGCCATCCCATGTCACCTGAGATTTCTGCCAAACTATTTGTGGTCTTGGGCATTCAAAGAAGACATGTTCAGCAGTTTCTGCTTTCTCACCACAGCAACTACAGATGACATCAACATTTATCCCTCTGCTCCTCAAGTTTGTGTTAACAGGAAGTATATCAGAGATGCATTTCCACAAGAAGTGCTTCAGTTTGCTCTTGATGTTAAGCTTCCAGGTTCTGAGTCTAACTTCTTGATTTCTTTTAGAGATGCTGTTGCCTTCTGGTAGGGCCAAAGATAGGAGTTTCTGCCTATGGAGGAAGGAGTATGAAGAAGCCACAGAGAATTTGCCTTTCTCCCCCATTTTCCAGTTCCACTTGTCATCAGAGTTTAAGTCCAGTGTTTGTATGTTGAGGATTTCCTTGCAGTCAGCTTCTTCAATCAAATCTCTGATTCTAGTTTCATTCCACTGTCCACTGTCCATGGAGATAAGGTCCTTTACCCAAAGCTTTCCATTTTCAATAGGGTCATGCAGCTTTGGACCTCTGCCTATGATACTAGGGATCCAATTGAAATCTTGAAGACTGACAGTACTCCCATTTCTGATCTCAATCTGTAGGCCTTCCCGTAGCAGCCCTCTCACTTTCCACAAGCACTTCCAGAGCCAAGAAGAGCTCGGTTTCAGGTCAGCATCAAACAGTGATGTTTTGGGAAATATGTACTCTAGAATGTAACTTGTTACTATTTAGAAAATAATCAAACATTTATATATATATATATAGGGTTGGGTTCAAGTGAGAATGGTGCTCAGTGAAAGAAATAAGAATACATCTTGACCATTAGATCAGATGATCTAATGGCTAAAAAAAAGTCAAGATATTGGACTCATTAAGGGTAATTTGGACATTACCGTTACACATCATCATGCCACATCACACCCACACACTTTTTAACACACACAAAACGCACACCTACACACAAGAGACACACGTATACACACACACAACACACACACACACACATACACACACACCACACACACACACACATACACACACACACACAAACACAATCAATTACACACGCTGAAACTAGATCTGCACACACACCACACACACACACACAGAGATCGGGCACACACACATACACACACAGACACGTCGGCTCCTCCCCGACGGCCACCCAGCTCAGCACTACGGTGCCGCCGATTGCCGCCATCCTCTGCCAGTTTCCGGCGGCCACATCTATCCACTTAGATTCCGTCTTATTTCTCAGCCGCCGGAGAAGAACACCACCCGTCACGCCGGTCGACTTCAGTCTTCACCCGTCTCGTTCGACACCCATCTTCTTGCCGGAATCCGAGTGGACGAGACGGTGTTGGTGCCGCAGCGGGTGATGTCGAGGACATGGTGACGGCGAACTGGAGCCATGCTTTTTCGGAGGGAGAAGATGGTGGTGGAGATGACATGGTGACGGCGAACTGGAGCCATGGAGATGGCAGCTGGAACACACCTACCATGGAGTATTGAGATTGGGGAGTTTTTGTTATAAATTTGATATTTTAAAAGGATCTGATTGC